AGTCCTGCATTAGACCTTTCCATCAAGAAGTTTTCAGAATCCAAACACTCAACTCACTTTCTACCAGTTGCTAAGGTCAGTGCAGATAACCAGCAGGGACACCTGTGAACTTTGACTCACAGACTCTTACACTTCGTATTAAAATCACACATTCCCGCAATGCTGGGAGTGTGCTAAATCAGCAAAGACAGATGGTAAAAATGTCACTTTCTCTCCTTGGTGCTGTGGTTTACCAACAAGATTAATTCCCCACCGTTCCTGGTTCTGTCCACACTGGGGCCAACACTTCTCCATGGCGTCCAAACAAAATCAAAAGCGTCCCTGTTCTAGAAGGCACATGTTAGTGCTGAGTCACAGCTGCCCATCTGCTCATAATAGCCCCAAATGGGACAGACAAATGGTCAGTTTGTCCCCTTGAGGTATGGTGAAATCCTTTACCACAATTGATTTTATTTTTTCTGGACAGATCATTTTTAGGTGTTCAGCTTTCCCCGACACCCCTGTCTGCCTTGCCTCCCTGATCACTTTTCTCAGTGTGGATGCATATGTCCTTGCCTACTTCCAACCATTTTCCAACATTAGAACACACTGACAATGAATTGGCCTTTCCCTCCAGCTCGTGAGTCAGAAAAATCACCAGGAGAAGACATCTCTAGAAAGCGAGGTCGCATACTCTGAGCCCCAACAGCTATTTAGCCAACCAGTTCTTTGCTCAGCCCTCTCAGAGTCACCTATCTCTAGCTACCTATTTGTTCCAGAAGAATTCGATCCAGGGAAATGGCTTCGCCACACAGATAGAGGGAGACCAGGGGGGCTTTAAGTTCACAGTGATTGGAAGTCCAGACAAAGCAGGGAATCCACAGGTAACATCCAAAGTAGCCCAGCTGCCCCCCCCCCAAAATAAAACTCTACTGAGACCCAGGAAGGTAAGCCCAGGTAAGAGAAGCTTCACTTCCTGCCAGCTGCCTCCAGGAGTCTGTTTTATTTTCCTCCGTCTGATTTAAGGCAGGCTTTTCTTTCCACTCAGGTGTTTGAATTCCAGCATCAAAAGAAGGTTTAAAAATAAGGACTTACCTCATTTACCTAAAGATTCTGGGTGGGAAATCCAATAGCTGTGGCTAATGGAGGGAAGGCGGCAGACAGCAGCCACGCCAGCTCCTCCAGGGATGGGGAGCCGCAGGTGTTATCACGTCTGAGCCCTCATCAGAGTGAAGATAAATGCATGTGACAATAATTTTAAATCATTTTTGTAGGATGTTAAGCAATAAGCCACCAACCGGGAATTCCCTAAGTCACTTCCCCCTCTTCTGATTGGCTGCCTGGCCCTTTAAAAAAATAAAATAAAGGATTACAAACATTGGCTCATTTGCATTTGGCCGACTCACACGTTAGTGTTCAAACAAAACAGGTCTAACCAGGTTATGCCTGTGTCTCAAGAACAGAGAGACAACCTGTTAATGGATGAGGAATTGATTTGGTGGTGACTGTTCTTTTCAGCTCAGAGGCTGTTTTAGGTGAACAGCCCTGTGCTCACCAAGACACCAGCAGGAAGGGAGGATGTAAAAGCAAAGTCCCAATCTGGAGGAGATGGTGGTGTAGGGCAGTGTGGGACCTCTCAGCACCTGCTTCCTTTGCTAGTCTGCATTCAGTCCACTCTGCTTGGGTATACAGAGCTTCGCCCTGGCCAGGCAGTGGCAGGTTCTGCAGGGTTCTCCCCGCCAGTCCCCTCTGCAGCCACGTGACTGCCTCTTTGACAGAAACCCTTGGCATTTTCAGTGAACTCTGACAAGCCTGCTTCCCCCGGCCCCAGGTAAGAGCCTTGGTAGAAGGTTTGAAAGGGAGGGTCCTAAGAGAGAGGGTCCCTTACGAGATGTTCAGGTCGAGTAGTCAACTCTCAACAGTGCAAGGGCTGATTATCCAGTTGGTGGATTATCTAGGTCCTTCACTTCCTCTTGACACTGACATGATCTTTTTTTTTTTTTTACTGTGTTTTGACACTCCCTATAGAAACCAGAGAGGAAAAGACCAAGATGCTGAAATTGGACATAAAACAACACAGTTTGGGCAAGAAGAAGGTGGAATGTTGGGGAGGAAGTATGGGTCTTAAATCTCCATGCAACCCCCACCTCCCTGGGCCAAGGGGCATGTCGGGAGTTATCTCTACCTGCTTCACTGGGCACAAGTCTACCTCCTCCAGTACAGGTGAGCAGCTACTCCTGGCAAGCAGAAGTACCATCCCCTAACCATTAACTTTCTCCCTCAGGTCTTCCTGGACACTGGCCTGGCGCGAGCGAGGCATCCAAGCAGATTTCTGTAACTTACCAGGCCTCCCCTTTGTGGGAGAGGGAAGAGAAATCGAGTGTTGGCAAAGAGACAAAGATTTTGTGATCAAAACCAAGAAGTTCCTTGTGTAAAAAAAGAAAGCTCTGCCTATGAGCAAAAGCTGACTATGAACAGAACAAAAAGTAAAACGTGGTTATTGTATGAAGGCGGGACAGTGAGTGAGCGGTCGTGTGAGTCCTTTCTTGCTGGTTTTCTTAGTTTATGCAACGTGAATGCAGAGGTTTCTGAAAGTGTGGAAGACATGGTGGAAGGGCAGGGGTGCACCTGGGAGGGTCTTGGAACTCTGGGTCTGGAAGGTTCTGGCCCGCAGCACGGCTCTCCCAAGCCCCTCTGCCTCCCAGCCTGCACCAAAGTTCCCACCCTTCCCCACTGCTCAACCCCGTGTGCTTGCCAGGGGCCCTGTTAAAATGCAAATGTACGCCCTGGGACTGATAAAAACAGTAAATGTCATTACTGCCCATTATCACATTAGCCCCAATTAGTTTATCAGCTCCAGATCTGAGCAGGGCCCCGAGGGAACGGCCTGCTGGAGTTTTGCTGGAGAGGTGAATCCGGAGCAGCCTGAAGTTGCCACACTCCGCCCACGGCAGGGTATTTGCGTGTGGGGGGAGGGGTGTAATTGGTGCCGGTGGGAGGCCTGGCAAGTGAACTTGGCCTTCCTTGCACTTTTGCTTGAGATAACCTGAGATAGCAGGGTGGGAATTAGGGGGTAGGGTTGTGTGATCAAGAGGTAGTGAACTTCAAAAGCAACTCCAGAGTTATGTGGCTCTCTGGCCCAGCCCAGTCACCTTTAATTATAGGCCCTTTCATTTCTAGCTGAAGAGTTCTGGTTCCATCTCCGTTCCTTTATCCACTCTTACTCTGTCCGTTTAGATGGGAAGACTGCTCCATTTTGGCAGTCCTAGAAGAGTCGGTGTGGGGTGCTGAGTGGGGGGTGGAAAGATGTCACCTCAACCTCACAAGCTACTTTATTTGTGGAGTTTTTACGTATGTAAAGTACTTAACTATGTGGCTGGTACTTGGTGGGTAATTATTAAGTATTGATTCTTTTCTTTACTTGGGACTTAGTTGAATCTCCCAGGAAGAAAACAAAAACAAAAACAATACCCCTCCCCCTCACATAGAAGCTACATTTGTAGGTATATTGCAGCCATAGAGAAATTCCTCTGGAGTACGAGGGTTTCACCCTGTTGCCAACTTTCACAGGACAGTTCTGGTGTCAAATTGCTAAATAGATGATAGGACGGAAGGAAGGAAGGAAGGAAGGAAGGAAGGAAGGAAGGAGAAGGAAGGAGAGGAAGGGAGGAGAGAGGAGGGAGAGGGAGGGAGGAGGAGAGAGAGAGAAGAGAAGAGAAAGAGAAGAGAAGAGAAGAGAAGAGAAGAGAAGAGAAGAGAAGAGAAAACAGAAAGGAAGGAGGAAAAGAAAGAAAGAAAGCCAGAGGAGGGAGAAGGGAGAGAGGAGAGGAGGAGAAGAAAAGAAGAAGAAGAAAGAAGAAAGAAGAAGAAGAAAGAAAGAAAGAAAGAAGAAGAAAGAAGAAGAAGAAGAGAAAAGAAGAAAGAAGAAAGAAAGAGAAAGAAAAAGAAAAGAGAGAAGAGAAAAGAGAAGGAGAGAAAGACAGAAGGAGGAGAAGGGAAGGAGGGAAGGAAGGAAGGGGAGGGATGTCCTGAGACCTTCTACTACAAGCCTCAGACATATCAAGTTTGTCCCTCCTGGATAAGAAGTATGACCATGAAACGTGCAACACAGCAGATCCTTTACACGGACACACTGTAAATTCTCAGTGAGGGATCAGGCTCCTGTCTAATGAACATCCCAGACCTCCGAGACTTGCTCTATGCTCCCAGGATGCCCCAGGAGACGGACAAAGACAGGGAAAGTGCCTAGAGTAATGACGCAAAGCTGCTCGCCTCCACTGTGTGGAGGACTACTACTGGGAAGACTACAGAAGGGAGGCAGAGCAGGCTGCCCTCACATCAAGAACTGAAACCAACTCTAGAAACCTAATTACTCTGCACAGAAATCTGCCTCGTCTTCCCTACAGGTCTCAAGGCCCTATCACCGTCTCAGACCTGTGCAAAGACACAGAGCCTGTGTGTGGGGTCCTGGTATTGGTCCCCACAGAGGAAAAGGGGGACAGAACAAACCAGCCCAGACCGTGTGCAGTGGCCTGGAGACCCAGAATTCAGTTGTCGTGTCTGCTAGGAGATCCACACTGTAAAACCAAAGAACTTTGGGGACCTTAATTCCCAAATCAAGGCAGGACGAAGAAGAATCTCTCTAAGCTGAGTCTCCAGCCCTAAGGGGTCTGAGTCTGAACACCAACCCGGGCTGTGGTTACCACGTCAACGGGAGCTGTGCGCTGGCTTTGCGAGAAAGAGGATGCCCGCTTACTTCACACAGCGCCTTTTAACTAGAGGCCTGGTATTTATTTTTGAAAGCAAGTGTGTGTTTATATATGTTTCTGTCTATCATCCCCTCCTAATGACATGGAATTACCTCCAGGGCAGAACATCTCAACTATTTAGTGACAGCCACACAAAAATATTAATGTAGAACCGCCTGGAACAAGAAACTCCCCCTGGTCCTGTAAACTACGAGGGAGGAGAGCTAAATAGAACAGGATATCATTGTTTATTACCATGCTTACCGTCAAATAAGGAACTAGGGTGAATAAGTATTATCTTACCTTTTACCCCACTCCCCACTAAAGGCTAATTTCCAAAATCTTCCAAGTTTTCGATCAGCTTAATTTCCTGGGCATCTCCATTATCGTCTGTGGAGAAGCTTCCGAGTCTCTGAAGGGGGCACCTGAGTTCTGTGTGGGAGGTCTCACGTTGACAACTGTTCTAGCAGATTGGTGGGGGACACTCTGATAATGCCTGTTGCCATGGCATCTGGGTGCCTCCGTGCTGAGCAAACCTGGACCAATGGCAGGACTGCTGAACTGCTGGGGTGGGAAAGGGCAGCTCAGTTTTCCTGAAAAGAATGACCCACTGCACACACGCACATGTGTACACACACATAAACCCCTCGGGCATCTGAATATGTCGCCAACCTCACCTAAGCACCCAAGATACATTTTCTTTTTTTTTTCTTTTTTTTTTTTTCTTTGAGTCAGAATCTCACTCTGTTGCCTGGGCCTAGAGTGCCATGAAATCAGCCTAGCTCACAGCAACCTCAAACTCCTGGGCTCAAGCAATCCTCCTGCCTCAGCCTCCCGAGTAGCTGGGACTACAGGCATGTACCACCATGCCCTGCTAATTGTTCCCATATATTTTTAGTTGGCCAATTAATTTCTTTCTATTTTAAGTAGAGACGGGGGTCTCGATTTTGCTCAGGCTGGTTTCGAACTCCTGACCTTGAGCAATCCACCTGCCTCGGCCTCCCAGAGTGCTAGGATTACAGGCGTGAGCCACCGTGCCCGGCCTCCAAGATACATTTTCTAAACTCCCCCTTCATATTTTAATTATTCTCAAGACACCTTCATTCTGTCTTAATGTAACTTGCCCCTAGCCCTTGCCCCTAACCCATTCCTTCTGCTTCACCTGTATCTTATTTTTCTCTTCCTGGCCTTCTCTTTCCTCACAAATAGCTTTACATGGTGGCTGACCTAAGGCCCATGTCACCGCTGCCATAAGCATTTTGGTTCTTGGATCAAACTGTTTTCAGCTTCTCAAAAGTATTTCCCCCAGGGTCTATAAGAAGGCTCATCTCTGTCTCAGAGATGGAGAGAAGACCACAGAAGAGTTGGCCACTTTCAGGAAACCTTCCTATGGCCAGAATTTTCTTCTTTTTTGTGTGGGGAAAGAGTTCCTTATAATTCTAGCAGTTGGGATTTTTTTTTTCAGGCATTACTCTTTTTTAACGGACAAATAAAAATTGGATATGTTTATGGTGTAAAACATAATGTTTTGATATATGTATACATTGTGGTCTATGTATACATTGCAGAATGGCTAAATCAAGCCTCACAGTGGCCCCATAATTAAGGTATGCATTTTCTCACATACTTATCATTTTTATGTGGTAAGAACACTTACAGTCTCCTCTTAGCAGTTTTCAAGTATACAGCACATTGTTATTAACTAGTCGCCACGCTGCACAATTAGATAGCAGGTGTCTTTATACATTGTTTTAGCATAAGAACCTTTCCAATACCATAGATCCCCAAAAATATTAGGTCATTAAATATGAAATGTCTGATTTCTAATCAAAGGCGTAATTTATCATATCTCAAACAAGAGGCAGTACAATGAATCAAAGTACGCGCCTACACTATCCGCACAGTTTTGGCATCTTAACAGTGGCTTGTTAATGCCAGCAGCGCAGAAGCTCGGAGAGCGAGTGGCGATGAAATGGCAAAAGGCGTTTTCCTCAGCTCGTTGAGAACGGAATATATTTCCTTGCAAGAAGTGGTCCAAAGCCTGGAAGAAGGGGTAGTCGGCTGGTGCAAGGCCAGGTGAATACAGTGGATGACAGAGTTTCCAAGTCCAGCGTCTGTAGTTTGAGCAGCGTTGTTTGCTCGACACGTGGTAGAGCGATGTCTTTCCATAGGACTGGCCTGTCTCTATTGACCAATGGCAGCTGCTTAATCACAAGCATCCTCATCATCTCATCCAGTTGGTTGCGGTGGACATCCCTTGTAATCAACTGATCAGGTTTCGTGAAACTGTGGTGGATAACACCAGCGCAGAACCACCAAACAGACACCGTTAGCTTTTTGTGATTAAATACTCGGTTCGGGACTGTGTTTCAACACCCCATCTTCATCCATCCATTGTCCCGAATGCTTGCAATTGTCAAAAAGAATCTATTTTTCATCACATGTAACAATATAGTGTAGAAGTGATTCGCCTTTATGTTGTGACATAAAAGAAAGGCGAACTTTGAGACAATTTCTCTTCTGACACTCATTTAATTCATGCGGAAACCATCTATCCAGCTTCTTTACCTTGCCCATTTGTTTCCAATGGTCCAATATTGTTGGAATAGCAACGTCAAACCCTGCTGCTAACTCACGTGTAGGTTGAGATGGATTCTCTTCCGCTATAGCTTTCATCTCGTCATTGTCTACCTTGGTCTCAGGTTACCCACATGGCTCATTTGAAAATCTCCAGAACAGAGCTTCTTTTTTTTGTTTTGTTTTTTTTGAGACAGAGTCTCACTCTGTTGCCCAGACTAGAGTACCGTGGCGTCAGCCTAGCTCACAGCAACCTCAAACTCCTGGGCTCGAGCAATCCTCCTGCCTCAGCCTCCCAAGTAACTGGAACTACAGGCATGTGCCACCATGCCCGGCTAATTTTTTCTATATATTTTTAGTTGTCCAAATAATTTTTTTTTCTATTTTTAGTAGAGACAGGGATCTCGCTCTTGCTCAGGCTGGTTTCGAACTCCTGACCTTGAGCGATCCGCCCACCTCAGCCTCTCAGAGTGCTAGGATTACAGGCGTGACCCACCAGGCCCGGCCAGAACAGAATTTCTTAAACCATCAACATACTGTGCATTCATTAACCACATCTTCCCCAAACATTTCGTTGATATTTCAAGCTGTCTGTGCTGCATCATTTCCACGACAGAACTCATAATAGAAAATAACACAAATTTTTGACTTATCCATGCTTTCACAAAAATTGCTCTAAAAAAATTGAAAGATAATCACAAGCCAAACATGTGTTTGAAAGACTGAGGCTGTACCTTCACAACAAAAATAAAACAAGAAGCGTCAAAGTGAAATGTCAGTGATATCAACTGTCGAACTTAGTACTTAAGGAAAGAGGACATTTCCTACTTAATCACCTAATATAAAACAGATTTTTTAAATGCTGTATATGGGTTGGAGGTAGGGCAGCTGCAACCTCACCTCCTTGGTCTCCCTTCTCCATGCTCATAGGCATCCAGCCTTGTCTGCTATTAATAAATAGGGCTTCCTGCCCTGAACTTCCTTTATAAATTCAGTCTCCTAAGTTCTTCCCCGCATCTACCAAGTCAGCAAGCACCTCCAAGGGTGGGGTGACAGCAGAGAAAATCAGCAGTTTTGCATTCTTCACCATTCATTTGTATTCTGTGGGCTCCCAAAACGTTGCACGGTGATAAACCGGAAGATTCTGTTCCTACCATCCAAGAAGACGTTTTAGTTGCACTAACCTCGGGTGAAGCTCTCAGTGCCTAGTCTCTTTCACCCAGGGACCATGAGAGATAGCAAACCCTCAGACTCAAGTGGAAAATGTATAAAATCTCATCCATATGCCCAATTATTTGGGATGGCCTGTGGTGTTGGAAGACCAGGAGCTCTCAGAACCTGTTTCATTAGCCCTAAAAACACAAGGTGAATCAGCTTTCTCAGAACAACCTGGTATGGTGGAAAGGACATAGTTTTTGGAGCCAGATAGATGAGGACAATTTTGCCATATTTACTTAAACTTTAGGTCTCAGTTTCCCCATCCGTTTATTGGAGATATTAACAACCTCAGTGAACTGTTTGGGGAGTTAAATGAGAAACTATATAAAGCCTTGGGAGAGTGCCCAGCACGGGGTGGGCTCTCAGCAAATGTTTATTTCCTCCCTCCACCAAGTGTGGAGCTTGAGCCCGGAGAGCTCCCCTTAGCAAGGTGTGAGGGTACATACGAGTGGCCAAAGAACTAATCTTCTGTGTTTCTAAGAAAAAGTAGGAGAAGGGGGTGAAGCTGTAAAGGCATAGAAAAAAGGAAGAGAATAGTGGCTATTCCATTTATTAAGTTTTAATCTTGTCCCAGTCACTTGGCTAAGAATTTAATTTGCATTACTTCATCTAAGCTTCACAAAACTCCATCAGAAAGGTCTATTCATGTTCTCACCTTACAGGTGAGAAAACTGAGCCTCCTTAAGCCTGATAAGGTAACTTGGTCAAGGACACACAGCAAAGCAAGTAGCTGGAGCTCTGACCAGTCAGTGTCATCCCAAAGCAAGATCTCCTAACCAAACCCCCTCCACAGCTGGTTGAAAGTTGGATTATAAGATCTTACACAGACGTGGAAAGTCAAGCTCAGTTCTGGGAGGCAGTGAGAAATGTAGATGTTTCTCAGAAGAGTGACATTGGAAAGTCGAAATAAAAAGAAGTGTGAAATATGCAAACAGGTTCAGATCTTATGGGACAATCTTCAGCCCTTGCCCTTCAATAACAAATATTTCAACAGCTAAAAGTTCAGAATAAGAATTGAGGGGAAACCCACTGGAAAAGTTGTGACTCGATCTTGCCTGGAAAATCTCAAGGCTCTTTTGATAGAAAGGTCACTCTGTCACCCACCAGGCTTCACAGCATGGAGCAGGCTAAATACCGTGGGGAGAAGAAGTGCTGAGGCACCCCGATCCAGAAGTAGCAGAGAGGAAGAGAGTGAAGAGCTTCAGAGATGATGAAGGCATTACATATGAAGGTTGAGAACAGTGATGGAATCTAATTAGGGGTGAGGGTCACCATCAGTTTCCCCATGCCCATCCTTCATAAGCAATTGAGAGTGTCTCAAAGTAGTGTAAAGTCAACCAGACTGCTACCCTTACATGCCTTCCAGAGAGAAATTTGGAACTCTGGACTTGCTCATGACCCTGGAAAGAATGCATCTAGAAACCTCCTGGAAGTGATATCGGAGAGTTGACAGCACATGCATTGACACTATGCAAAAAACCTCATTTGCCTAAATAAATCTTCCATTCAGTCCATTCAAAACATATGCACCTGCACATTGGTGGAATGTCAAGAAAGAAGCCCTTGGAATTATTTCTGAATAATTTCATATTTTGGGGGAATCCAGATGAAACCTCCCCACATGTGTCACGGCATGTCTATGATGTTTCTCCCCTCTCTCTCCCCTACCCCTCTTCTCAGCAATCACATGTGACTTTAGGGTTTGGAATTAGTCAATCTGTCTTCCTGGATAAGGACAGTATGCCAAACAGTACCATTTTGAGACTTAGTTTCTTTTATAACAATGCCCTAGGAAAGTTTTATGAGGATCCTGATTTAAGGTTGGAGGTTAATAGCGCTGAAATTGAGAACCAAAAACTATTGTGTAGGTGGATACACAGTAAAACTGAAATAAGGAAGTCTTCTGCAAAGTGAACAAAAATCTGCATAGTTGGTGCATCTGAAAGTCTCTCGTGAGAAGGTAGCCCTGCTGTCAAAGGGACCAGCCACAATGGGGTCACTTCCTTGCAGGGGAAAGCATGAAGGCCATTGAGCTTATGCTGGAAAGAGTGGGGTAAGGAGTGCAGGGGGAGGGAACTAACTCTGACAAGGACAGTGTGACAGAAGGGCATGCCTAGCTTGCTCTCTCCCTCAACTCCAAAGTCCAATGTCAATGGACATTTTCCACCAACGCCAAAGAACTTCAAAGTCAGCTCAAGGCTTACAGTCTTCACATTTATCAGCCTGTGCTTCTCCAGGAGTTGCCAGAACCACCGGGGCAGAAAACCTCAGCAAGCCCAACCTTAGATCTCACAATTGTGTGCGATCGTGGTGGGGGAAGGGTGTCCTTGGCAAATACGTGATTTCTGCAAATCCATTTTCTTTCCAGCTTGGCAGGTCACCTTAACTTGGAAGCTGAATGAACAACTGGGAAAAAGTATGCTTGTTAGGGGATGGGCCAATGCTCTGTGAACTTGAGCCTTGGCTGGGGGTAACATTCTTTGAACAATCAGGTAAGACAAGCCTGGAAAGATCGAGAGCCAGTGCCAGTGTGGACATCGTTGCCGGGCACCCAGACCCACCGTGGGTCACTGCACAGCCCACAGCCTCACTTGGGGTAGAACTGTTCATTCCTCTACCTGCAATCCCTTCCGTCCCTCAGAACTGTTGGCAGCTAGCACGGGGCACACGGTCGAGTTGCTGGGAGAGAGGGCAAGGTGAGACCGAAGGAAAGAGGCAGGGAGACAGCGGTTCTAGCAGTTTTCATCCTGATGACCACAGAGAGACTTTGAAATGCACCCCCAAACTCACATTGGTGATATTTCTTACCATATTAGTCACAGTTGTGCCAGAATTTTGTACACATATCTTCTATTCGATACTTCCTCATGTGTGCAGCCTTTTCAAAAAGCAACTGGGTCATTCCCTTTTACAAAAATCATCGCCAGTTTCCCATTCCTCAGAGGGAAGTATGCCCACCACGGGTGATCTGCAAGAGGATTTTAAATGCAAATGACCATTTATATTTTAACAGCTATGTGTTTTCTGATACGAAAATAAATTTACTAAAGTAAAAAAGTGAGTCAGTAAATTGTTATTTGTTAAGTAAAAAATACAAGGCAGGGGGGACACGGACATGGCAAAGAAGGTGACAACAAAGTGGAAGCGATGAAAATCAGGAGGAAAACGGCTTACAGACAGGCGGTCCAACCTCCCCAAGGGCACAACATTTTCCACTGATGTTTCCAGTCCTCGGTCCCGTGGCCGCAGCTGTAGCTCACAGGGTACATCCCAGGCACAGCGGACCCACAGCGCTTCTACACAGACAGCCTGCGTTTCCCTCCTTCCTGCTCCCGCCACGTGGAACCCACCCATCTCCAGTGCCCTTTCTCCATCCAGTCTTCCCCAAAATTTAAATTTCCCAGAACCAGTAGTTTATACTCGGAACCATTCAGCAGACAACATTCCGCAGATGTTTCTGGAGCTTCTGCCATGTGCAGGGCCACTGTGCTAGGCTTTAGCCATAGGAGTAAAACAGGACAAGAATTTCTGCCATGATGGGACATAGATTCTAATGAAACCGGGTGACAGCACGTTCCTTATTGTGCCATGTGGGGTTGCTTTGGGGGTACCACTTTTCCCTAGCCAGCCTGAGCAACCCAGGCAGGCAGGGTTTTTGTCATGGTCGTCTCCCCCAGAAAGGCCTGGTGTGACATGAGTCCTCCCAAGTATCGGGGCCCTCAAGCCTGCTTGTTGAATTGAAGGCGCAGGCTGGATAGCACAGGCGTCTTTGCAGAATGAAAGAGTGCAGAGTAGCTTCTGCCCCTTTCCAGAGTCGCTGCCGAGCCTCCGCAGGAAGGGTGCACGTAGAGTAGCCAACTCATCCTCTCCCCATTGTAGCACTGGCTGCCCCACGTACTGGAAAACCCCGCGTCCCCAGGCAAACCAGGAAGGCTAGTCAACGTAGCTGCATGTCACATCGACTGTGCACCAATACTATCTCCTCTAACTGCTGTGTGACCTTGGGCACTTACCTACCATCTCTGAGCCTCTGTTTTCTCATCTGCAGATGGAGATAATACCACATCCCCTCCAGGGCTGCTGCAAGAATTAAAGAGATAATATAAGTTTAGGGAGATCATCTTGTGCCATGAATGGTTGCTGTGATTAATACCTTTGGAAGATGGACTGAGAGCAATGTAAAAAAAAAAGGGGGGGGGAGAACTGTGGCTGAATCGAAGGAACTGGTGAATGCCAGTTCTGAGCTGGTGAATGCCTGCGGAGTGGCCATCTCCCATCTCTCTTTTAAAGGCGGATGTGCCAAAGGTCAAGAGGCCACAACGCACATAGTCTATCCAGGGTCTCTCAATGGCAGGCAGCAAGAGACTTGCTAGCAAAATGCCATAAACCAAACCCTAGATCTACCCGGCTCTGTCTTATTATTTTTATTAAGCAAGTACTATGTGCCAGATACTAAGCATTTTATTTACATGCAATGTCTCTTATAATGCTCACAAAGGCCTCCTAAAGCAGCATTAAAATCCCCTATGTTAGGGATAAGGAAACTGAAGCTGAGAGAGATTAAATAACTTGCTCAAGGTCAAGCTGCTGGGAAGGACAGATGGACAGATGGAAACTGCGTCTGCCTGACCTCTGAACCTCTCCCGCTAACCACCACCTAACTGTGCATGAGAAACAACCTCTCCTTGTGCCTCAGCCGGACCCCACAGCTTTTCTCCCCTCCAAATAGAAGGAAACTGGCATTTTAGTAGGCACTGGGCGATCTGGTCAGCCTTGGCATAAAGGGGAATTAGCAGGCGAGCTCTTGCTTGCTGACAGACGGCTTACCCGAGACCCCACTGGGTCCCCCAGAACCTGAGTAGATAGTTGTATAATTTCCTTGCATTGCTCTCTAGCTTCAGACTGAGGAGAAACATAGAGCCAACCTGGGACAACATACCAACATGGTTTGGATTGTTTTTCAGCCCACAACAGTCTCAACTCCACCACCTGCTAGCTATTCCACTTTGGACAACTGGAGACTCAGTTTTCCCATCTGTAAAATGGATCTAAGTTTGTCCCAGCAGCAGCAGCAGCAGCAGCACCACCACCACTCGTGGAATGCACACTTGCTCCTTTGTAGCAAGTCCTCTCAAAAGCACCTTGATGCAGTTACTATTTTTATGCCTATTTTGTAATTGAGGAAATCACGGCACAGTGAAGTTGGGAAGCCGGGGCAAGGTCATACACCTAACTAAGTGGCAGAGCCAGGTCTGAAACCCACGTAAGAACCTTGCTCTGTATCCCTGTGCACTACTCTTGTCACCTGGACTGTAACGCTTTCCATGGGAGGACAGGTGTGAACGTGCCCGGCTCAGAGGTCAGCCTGGGATAGCTTCCTCGCTTCCACAGTTCTCAGCCGCTGCTCCTCACACATGTCTGGAAGGGAGGGAGCGGGGCTCACCTCGGGAGCACCCTCTCTGTGGGAGCACCTCCTCCGTCCGGAACTGCACTGCCCCCCAAGGTGATAGCGAGTGAGTCACCTGTCCGATAGGCACATGTGAGGGGAACACAGACGGACGGAGGAAAGAGCATCAAACTGCAGAACAAAGCCAACCAACGACTTGTGGCAAAGATAATTACAGGCCGGGGTGGCAACACGAAGGCTCAGGGCTGCCTGGTGTACGTGGTAATGAATCACAACCTCAAAGGCTTTGAGGAGGTCTGGAGGCCCCAGCAGGACATTGGAGACCCAACTAAGATTTTTAAAACAAAACCCAAAAAAACCTCCCCAAGTTGCATAATCTCCTTGCCTTTCCTCCCAGCACACGTCCCTGCCCAAGTAAGTTCCCCAACGCTGGCACCTGCCAGCCCAATATTCCCAAAAAGGGCTGGAGGAAGGTGTATGTTGGGAGTGTGATAGAGTTGTCAAATATACACAAATCTACGATGTCAGTTAAAAAATGGAAGTCATGGTTCTTTGTGTTTTCCTGTAATGGGGTAAAAATAGCTCATTTTTCATCGAAATAGAAAATGAAAACCTGCCACTGTCATATCCAGCAATCCACACTACCACCCTCTGCTTTCAAGTTGAACCCTGCCATGCTAAGCTATTAATAGATGTAGCATTTTGGTTTAGAGTCAGATAGACCTAAAGTTGTGTTCCAGATTTCTCACTTGTGGCTGTGTGAACTTGGCCAAGTGACTTGACTTCTCTGAGCTTCCGCTTCCTCTTTTTTAATGTGAACTCTAGCAGTACTAACTCTGTAGGCTTAAGAGGATTAAATTATATAATATATATATATATATATAGCTACTTTTGTCTGTTATTTTATTATTCCTATAATTCTGAATTCTGCCTCCTTCTTCCCCAGCTCTTAGCCACCTGTTCTACATGATTTCCTCGGACCACCATCTCCCTGTAGTCCTCTGGGCTTGACCCCTGTCCCTGATTATGAGAGTTAAGGAGAAAAGGGTTCCTGACTTGGAAACAGATGGGACCAGTTCTATTGGAGACCCACCCCGAGCTTGGGTTCCTAACTCTCTGGTTATCCTGCACATGACAGCAGTGGGGCCTGTGCCGTTAGTAATTGGGTTCCGGAACTTTCCAACGGCCCCTTGTTCTAGGTTTCAGAGGCGAGAGAGACTCCATTTCTCCCTCCCCCCTCTGGCCGCCCTCCCCTTTATGGGTGCTCACTCTCTCACCTGCGCACAGCACCAGAGTTCCTGGGCTCTTTCCATGGAAATGCTATTTGGTTACCTCGTGTTTTGCATTTTGTAACACCAAAGGCCTCGTTGGGACCAAGACATGGGACCAGCCACAGCCTGACAATGACAAAGACACAATTCTTTTAAACCAATGCCTTGAGCTCCTGACACTTTGCCCCTCTCAGACTGCCATCCCTCCAAATGCAACAAAAACTCCACGCGTCAGAACTTTCTATAATGACAAAAACAGTAACAACAATAATTTCTTGTGACAGGCACAGTGCTATGTGCTTAAGGTACGTTAGTCCAATTGCTGCTAGATTTTATGATTGGGAATGTGGCTATTCCATTTATCCCTCAAAGCCAGCCCCCCAAATTCCCTCGTGCTGGTTCCTACCATTTTATTGGGTAACCATGTGTCAGATGGCCCTGCCTTCTGGTGTCAAATAGGACCTGGCTTGTCAGGCAGAGGAGCAGTGGGATGAAGGGCCAGTGGTCACATGGCTGAAGGAGGAGGTTTTCATGGTTTTAAAAGCCCAGACAGACTGGGCACACCCATGGTTGGTTCAGATGCGGAAGGCAGGCATTCTGTTTGCGAGAGAGTGTATTTGCACAACCTTTATAGAGAGCAATTCAGTAATATCTATCAAAATTTAACATGCTCATATCCTTTGACTCAGTATCTATTTCCAGGAATTTCTCCCATAAATCTATGTACAAAGGATCACAAAAAGTTATGAGAAATTGAAAATAACTTTAGTGTTTACCAGTAGGAGGTGTAAACAAACTCTGGTCCATCTACATCATGAAATAATATTAAGAAGGCAGATCTATATGCCACGATGCTGAAAGATGCCCATATAAAGTGAAAAACAAGCTAAAAAAAAGGCTTATGATTGTTTTTGTTGTTGTTTGTTTGAATATATGTATCTAGTGCATGGCTGGGAGGATATACAACAAACAATAATTGCTGCTAGGGGGTAGAATTAGGGGAAAAGTTCACATTCTGTTTTAATTTTGTGACAGATGTATATTTACTTATATTTAAAGCTGTATTTTATATATGTGATATATATTTATACCTATATTATATATATAATATATATGTATATCTTGTATGACAATAATATCCAAACACAACAGATCTCTCAGTTCCTCTTCTTGTCATCCCTCTGGTAGAATTCTCCAAAAAAGCAATGCATAACAACCCCAAATAAACATTTATTCAGAGCTTTGCAGTTTACAGAGGAAATTCATCAATAAAAATTTATTTATATATCACACCATCCCCATGAACTTATGCCCATTTTACAGATGGGAAAACAGAGGTTCAGAGAAGAGAAGTGGTTCTGCCCCATGTCAAATGCCTGATGGCAGGCAGAGCCAGAACTGGAAGCCCAGGTCATCCATTTCCAGTGCCAGGGACCTTTTCCAGGCCTTCCCGGGTAACACCTGGGTTATCTCTGCCGTGACCTCGCTCAGATCTCGGCACAGGTGAAAACCAGAATACCTAGGCATGGCCAAGACATCTGAGAGGAGAAGTGAGAAGGGCAGAGAGAGAAGAGGAGGAGAAGGGCATGGTGGAGAAGAGAGATTAAAAAGTTTCAAGAAGGCACAGGAGGCTTGGCATATCCTGTTCTCCGATTAAACATGCAGGCCATCAACAAACCAGGTAAGCAAGACCCTAAATAGATGCCTCCTTCCTGTGACTGCTCTGTTGTTTGGGGATGAGTCATTTGTCACCATCTTGCTCGAAGCTGTATGTGAGCTGGGCCTAAACCCCGGAGTGATGGTGGGACCACTCCCACTCCAGGTGTGTCGCATGAGCTTCTGCCCAAAAGGCCCAGAGGGAGCCGTGCCCAGAACCACAGGCAGGAGAAGAGGAGATGCCAGGGGCCTCTCTGGCCTTTCCGTAGTATGCACCACTCGTGGCTACAGCATGCACCTGCAATCGCCCTTGCACCTGCAATTCCAAGGCCCAGGCCCTTTGGAATAAAATCCAGCCTCCGTAACATAACTCCCAAGGCCGTTTGAGACCTGGCACCTACCTGTTTCTCCAGCCTCATCTCCAGCTATTTCCTACCTGGCTTTCTACATACTGTCTCCTTCAATACCCCAAATAAGCAGGCCATTCTCCCGTTCTCTCTCTCCACCTCCCCCCAAATTATTGCGCGTGCTATACAGTTACTCGTCTTCCTTCTTTCCCGGCTAACTGCTGCTCACCCTTCGGCTCCCGACCCAATTACGGCTTCCCCTGGGGATCCCGTCCTCACTGGCCTGCCCTGATGCCACCATTCAGGCCCCACCCTAGTTGTTGCCCCCGCCCTGCGTCTCCCCCTCCCTAGCACTTACCACACTGAGCTGTGATGCTTCATTTCCTCGCCCCTCTGCCCGGCTGGACTAGCACAGTGGCTGCGGCTTTCTAGGAACCCCTAAATATGTATTGAATGAATGAGGAATGACACAGTATGGATGTCACCCCACAGTAGGTGGCAGGTATCACACTTCAGCACGGGAGGCCTGGTGGGTGCCACATAAATCCACTGCCTCCATCCACCTAGACAGGTCCTCTCTGTCATAGAAAATCTTGAGCCTGGATGAGCACGTCATAAAGGGCAGTGACCACGGGGAGGCATGTTGTAAGAGATTTCTGGCAAGTTCTAACCACCATCCCTTAGGGGTAAAAACAGAAGACGCTCAGCTTTACAAGGTGGTAACAGAACCAAAGGGCTGGACCAAACTCAAGAGGTCATTGAATCCATCCCCCTGCCTCCAGGAGAGACTGGCTCAGTCACAGACAAGTGGGTGTTTCCTTATAGCATTAGTAGGAGTAATGTTATTTATATTAATAATATTAATAGCAGTGTAGCAAGGGTTGTGCTAAGAATAAACACTCACAGGGGAGATGGTGTCAGCCTCTTTGGGTCACCCTTCCCAGTCCCCAACAGAACAAGAACCTGGTCTCAGCAGTGGAAGATCAGACTATACTTCCCTGTGTCAACGTGATCGCTCAATGAGAAGTGAAGCAAGCAGGTTCTCTTTCAGAAGAGGGCAAAGAAAATATTCCAGAGCCAGGCCTTGGGCAGCCTTTCTCGGAGCAGCCCAAAGTATGTGCAACCTTACGAGGCTACAATCAGACATCTCTGCTATTTACAATCAACTCAACCCTTCCCCTATGCAGAGGGCTTTATAGTTTGCAAGGTGCTTGCGCATCCGTGACCTCATTTAATCCTCACAACACCACAGTAACAAGTGCACCCCAAAACTGGGGAGAAGCTGAGGCTGCAACAGGCTGTAGGTCGGTTCCCAGAGTTCTTAGACCTAAGTGAGTGGCTGAGCTCAGGTCAGGGAACTACGATGTTAGCTCGCCAGTGGGACCCTCCGCACATCACATTCTGCTTCTCAGTCTGGAATGAGACACAGAATGGGACAACCAGGCCCACGTGCCCCACAGTCCACGTAGTCAACAGATACGCGAGCACCGACTTTATTCCAAGCACTGCTCCAGGAATACAGCAGTGAACAGATTTGTTTTAAAAAATCCAAAAAACATAAAACCCTGCCCTCGTGGAGTTTACATGCTGGGACTGTGATTTTACAAGTAGCTTTAAGTGACATGGTTTCAAATGTTATGACACACAGACCTAGAATTAAACAATCTTGACCCAGGACTTTAGGAGACCAAGGCAGGAAAACTGCTTGAGGCCAAGAATTCAGAATCAGCCTAGACAACATAGTGAGACCCCATCTCTACAAAAAAAATTTAAAAAGCTAGATGTGGTGGCATGGGCCTGTAGTCCCAGCTACTTTGGAGGCTGAGGCAGGAGGATCACTTGAGCCCAGAAGTTCAAGGCTGCAGTGAGCTATGATCACGCCACTGTAATCTGCATGACAGAGTGAGGCCCTGACTCTAAAAAAATAAACAATATTGAATCACAGAGTGAGAAATGTGTACCCCTTCCAATTTCTTTCAATCCTTCACAGACTTCAAAGGAGGTCTCAGTTTGCTGATCTCCCCTTTCAACAAAAAGAGCACAAACTGCAGGATCCAGCGAGAAGTTAATTCCATCCTTGGGTTCCATCCTATTAACAGTGAATTTCTAGGTGTGGCCAGTGATGCTAATTTCCCATTAAAGGTAGTGATATGGTCACTTTGTAAATAAATGCAAATTCCTTAATAAGTGAGTCATTTCAAAGAAAAGACCTAAAAGAGGCTAAATAGGACAAATGGCAAATGAATGTAGCAAAACACTGGATGAGTGAGGGACTTGAACTAGGTGGGGCCATCAGCCTAGGAGCACTTCTACATCCAAAGACCAGACAAACCAAGTTGCTTCTTCCTTAGAGTCGGGCTAGCCCACAGGCTCACTGCTTAACGCTTTAATTAATCCCACACCTGTCACCTCCGTCCCTCCACCCACCCTGCAGTCGCCCTGGGCTGAGCCCACACTGTCTCCGGGACAGAGCCCACAGAAGCTAAACCTGGAGCCCAAGAGCAAACACCCAGCCCTTCCTCCTAGCCCCAAGGATTTATCTCCCTTATCTCAATCCCCACACTTTCACTGAGGGCAAAGGTCACTCCAAGAAGCTCCCTTAATTACCCTTTCGTTCTCAGAAGCCAACAGCCACCTACTTTAAATAAGGAAAAGCCACCCAGTCCCATTGAACCCAGTTTCCCTCTAGGTCAACGGGCTCCACGAATACTCAGAATTAGAATCGCCTGGGAGCTTTATCAAACTGCAGGTGCCTCGCTGGCTCCAGCAGGGTTGCTGGATCAGTCACGTAAAGAGGGGGCCTGGGAAGCTGCATTCTGGGCTCCCCTGGAGAGTGCACTGTCCAGCCGTATTTGAAGCTGATGTTCTCAGTTGGAAACACCTTCTCAATAGGCTTCCTATTGGGCCACGTGTAGCAGTTGAGTACATGGGCTTTGGAGTTGAGCAAACCTGGATTCAAATCCCGGGTTCGCCACAAGGAAGAGAATGAGTGGCTTCAGGTAAGCTCTTTAACCACCCTGAGCCTCAGTTGTCTCAGCTGTAAAATGGGGGTAACAATGGCTTCTCTGCAGCATTAGGTTCTTTGAAGGATTCGGTGATATAATGTATGCAAAGTGTACTGTGCATTGGCTTGGAGTGACAGCTAAAGACCGCACTGGCCATGATTAATGTAGTAATAGGATCGATCTTATCTTGGTAAA